CCCCCGCCCCGGGACATGCCTGCACCCTGCTACGCTCCCCCACCCTGCACGGGGACACACCTTTCCCCCCCTTACGCTCCCCCACCCTGCACGGGGACACACCTTTCCCCCCCTTACGCTCCCCCACCCTGCATGAGGACACGCCTGCACCCCGTTACACTCCCCCACCCTGCACGGGGAAATGACTGCGCCCCGCTAGGCTCCAGTCTTGGGACCCTCACCTCGCATGGAGACATGACTGCATCCCGTGCTACGTTCCCCACTGCATGGAAACATGGTGGCCCCCCCTTGCGATACCCCAACCCCCAGGAAGCCCCTACACTGCTACACGACTGCACCCCCCCACCATCAGCACCCAGCGAACGGGAAGGGCGTGGATCCAGCAGGTGGCCTTACGTATTTGTACATGTTCCTGACCGCTGGGTTGGTCTTGCTCTTCACTGTGTGGAACAGAGCCCCGCCGCCTTTCTGGCAAGACAAAGCACAGAGACCCTGCCTTGGAGCGACCCCGTCACCTGGTGCCTCCTGCAGTCAGCTTGGTGCTTGGCCCTAACCCTCCCTGCCACTAGGGGGAGCCTGTGGGTGAGCAGTTACTGCAGGAGTCGCCAGGTGGCGCTGTCGCACACCCATCTTTCAAGAATCCCCATTGTCTCAAGTTTTGCAATGGGGGGGGGTTTCTGGTGGGGTCTGCTGCCAGTGGGCGGGGGGAGGAGAGAGGAGGGCTGCCCTCTTCCACGGTCCCACTAACTAGAACCCGCTGGAGGCCAGCGCTGCGAACCTGTGGTCTCCACGTTTGTGTTTTTCCTTGGTGCGCAAGCAAGTGGTCAGTCTTAGGAAGACACACAGGCTGGCTGTGTCTACACTGGGCCACTTATTCCGGAAAAGCAGCCGCTTTTCCAGAATAACTTGCCAGCTGTCTACACTGGCCCCTTGAATTTCCGGAAAAGCACTGATGATCTACTGTAAGAAATCAGCTGCTTTTCCGGAAATACTATGCTGCTCCCGTTCGGGCAAAAGTCCTTTTTCCGGAAAACTGTTCCGGAAAAGGGCCAGTGTAGACACAAAACCTTGCATGTCCGCTGCCCGTTGGAGGAGGAATCAGCGAGATGGAGTCTGGGCATATTTGCAACTTGTTTATGTACACTCTGTACCGGAACAGAGGCATCACAAGCTGCAGGCAGGCCGAGCCCCTTGTTCAGGAATCCCAATCCATTGCACAACTCGCTTCCCAGGGTGCAAAGCTGCCTCAGGAATCAATGCCAATTGGAGGCTGAGATGGAGCTCATCCCCAGCTCTTAGCCTGGCCCCCAGTTGAACTGCCCTACGCAGTGTGGCTACGTCTAAATTGCATCCTTTTTTCAGAAAAGGGATATAAATTAGACGTATTGCAATTGCTAATCAAGCAGGGATTTAAATCTCCCCCGCTTCATTAGCATAAAAATAGCTGCTGCTTTTTTTCGGCACGGAGCTTTGCCGGAAAAAAGCACCAGTCTAGATGCGGATCTTTCGGAAAATAAAGCCTTTTCCGAAAGATCCCTTATCCCTCTTAAAATAAAATAAGGGATAAGGGATCTTTCGGAGAAGGCTTTATTTTCCGAAAGATCAGCATCTAAATGGCGCTTTTTTCTGGCAAAGCTCATTGCCGAAAAAAAGCAGCAGCTATTTTTATGCTAATGAAGCGGGGGAGATTTAAATCCCTGCTTCATTAGCAATTGCGATACGTCTAATTTATATCCCTTTTCTGAAAAAGGGATGCAATTTAGACGTAGCCACACTGCGTAGGGCAGTTCAACTGGGGGCCAGGCTAAGAGCTGGGGATGAGCTCCATCTCAGCCTCCAATTGGCATTGATTCCTGAGGCAGCTTTGCACCCTGGGAAGCGAGTTGTGCAATGGATTGGGATTCCTGAACAAGGGGCTCGGCCTGCCTGCAGCTTGTGATGCCTCTGTTCCGGTACAGAGTGTACATAAACAAGTTGCAAATATGCCCAGACTCCATCTCGCTGATTCCTCCTCCAACGGGCAGCGGACATGCAAGGTTTTGGGCATCTGCTACCTCTCCAGAGAGGGGCAACATTGTCGGCGCAGCTAAGCCACGGATGGGCGCTAACGAGAAATGAAAACAACTTTGGGTGTGAGCTTCTGAGTCCACCATGGTCACTCCAGCGGCTTCAGTAGCGTCACGCTCGTTTTCATGCTACATGCCCCCGGGGGAGTTAATTGACACAGGGATCAAGTATCAGAGGGGTCGCCGTGTTAGTCGGGATCTGCAAAGCCACGAGGAGTCCGGTGGCACCTTAGAGACTAACAGATGGTTCGGAGCATAAGCTTTCGTGGGCTGAGACCCACTTCGACACTTATGCTCCAATAAATCTGTTAGTCTATAAGGTGCCACGGGACTCGGTAGGGGCAGTGGCTCCTGTCGTTCACCTCTCTGTGACTTAGTCACTGGCCATTTCTGAGCCCCCAGGATGGCAGGGGTCAGATCTTGGCCTCTCTGTGGTCAATGGGACTACACTGATTGACACCCAAGGACCCGCCCTCTCAGGGTGTAAACTGTATCTGCTGAACATCAAATCCAATTCCTCCTTGCGCCAATGGCAAAATTTGGCTCTGTGCTGCTAGACGCTTCAGGGAATGCTTAATGCAGGCAGGTCCGTGTCATCACCATTTTCCAGAGGGGGTAAACTGAGGCACGGAGGTGTGTCAGGTTCGGGGGAGGGAGGACCCCTTCCATCCTCCAGATTATGCTGCAAGTTAGTGGCAGGGGTGAATAGTCTCAAAGCCCCCCCTCCCCCGCTCTAACCACTATGCCCCACACCCCTCCCAAAGCTGGGAATGGAACCCATACCTTAAGGCTTTCTACCCACAGCTGGTATGACCTCAGGTTACCTGCATAGGGACAGGAAAAGGCCATTAGAGACTCAGAGCCCTAGGTAAGGTCCTCACACCCCCTCCCCCATGCCTGGCATACATCCTGTGCGGACGTGGATACAGCCAAGCCAGCTCTACCATCAGTGCCACTGCATTGTGGGGGAACCTCGGGTGGCACCCACGTTAAAGGGTCACAGCTGAGGGGGCAGAGGTCACAGTGATGGATGGACAGATTGGGGGAGGCAGAGTCGTAGAATCCTAGCACTGGAACGGGCCATTAGAGCTCATCGAGTCCAGTCACTGGCCCGCATGGCAGGGCCAAGCATCCCTGTCAGGTGCCTGTCTAACCTGCTCTTAAATATCTCCAGGGATGGAGATTCCACAACCTCCCTGGGCAACTTATTCCAGTGTTTAACACCCTGACAGTTAGGAAGTTTTTCCTAATGTCCAACCTAAACCTCCCTTGCTGCAGTTTAAACCCCTTGCTTCTCGTCCTATCTCAGAGGTTAAGTCTTCCCTCACAGTTCATGTTTTCTAGCCCTTTACTCATTTGTGTTGCTCTTCTCTGGACCTTCTCCAATTTGGCCACATCTTTTCGGAATTGTGGTGCCCAGAACTGGACACAACCCTCCAAGTGAGGCCTAATCAGCGCAGAGTAGAGCAGAATGACTTCTTGTGTCCTGCTCACAACACTCCTGAATGAGGTTTGCTTGTTTCCCAACAGTCTCACAGTGTTGACTCATATTTGGCTTGTGGTCCACGATGACCACGTGGGGTGGCAGAGTCATGGCGTGGTGTCAGGATGAGCAGGGCCAAGCAAACCCATTGCCGTGGCTGCCTGGGGATGTGGATGGGGTTGTGTTATACGCAGAACAATTGCCCCCCAGGGCAGGTGCAGTCGGTGGCTGCCCCTTCCTTACCCGCCGCCATCCCGCTGTTGGTGATTTCCTGCTCAAACACGTCTGAAAAGCCCACGCCGGCATTCAGCTTCTCCAGGCGCTCGTCGATGAACTGAAGAGTTGGTGGCGTGTGGGGGGGACACGTGCAAGGGGAGTCAGGGAAAGCACATGGAGAAAAAGGGAACCGTTAGAGAAAATTGCAAAGGGCAGGGGCAGATGGACGGGGGAACCATTAAAAGAGAGCATAGGGGCAGATGGACAGGGGGAACCATTAAAAGGGAGCACAGGGGCAGATGGACAGGGGGAACCATTAGAGGGAAGAATGGGAGGGCAGATGGAGAAGAGGGAACCCTTAGAGTGGAGCACTTAGTAGGGACAGATGGAGGGGGGCATCATTGGAGGGGAACACATAGGGGGCAGATGGAGGGGGAACCATTGGTGGGGAGCACACAAGAGGCAGATGGAGAGGGGGAACCATTGGAGGGGAGCACATGGTGGGGCAGATGGAGAGGGGGAACTATTGGAGGGGAATGGGGCCAATGAAGAGGGGGAACCATTGGAGGGGAGCACATGGTGGGGCAGATGGAGAGGGGGAACTATTGGAGGGGAACACACAGGAGAAGGACAGGGCAGATGGAGGGGGAACCATTGGAGGGGAACATTACGGGGAGAGCACATGATGATGCAGTGGGAGCATTAATTATAATGTGGGAGGGGCCCTTCGTTAATGGCTCTTGTGGCACCATGGAGCCTTACAGCCCTGGACACTATGGCTCAGGAGGGGGTGGCCCAGTCAGCCCCCCACCCCAGGTCCCCCACCCCAAATGCTCCTAGATGCACCCTCAGCCCTCCGAGGTAGAAGGCAGGTCGCACACATGGGGTGGGGTGGGGTGGGGGGTAGGCACATCGTTCCCTCTGGCCAAGGGCTGCCAATGTTTCCGGGGGTCTCAGGACTCCTTGCCCCCCAGCCACGGGCTGCCCCCCTTCCCTGTTGATGCACGGCGTTGTGCAGGAACTCCCGCATGGTGCTGGACTTGTGGTTGAGGAAGGACTCTTGGCAGAAAGAGATGGGCTGGCCCTGGGGGAGGGGGGCACAGAGGCTCAAGGGGGGCATTACCCTCCTAGGAGGCTGGGGCCCCAGCTCAGAGACAGTAGCTCTGTGCCCCCTCGGGGGGGGGGGGGGCCCGGGGGGG